TCGTAATGTTGCAGAAGGAGACCGCGGGAAGGGAGCGCGAGCGTCAGCGGCGTGCTGAGGCTCGCGCTCGTTTGGTGGCGAGAGAGCGTCGCCTGGGCGTCAGGCGACGCGGGCGGCCCCCTCGGCGTGGCGCATGACCCAGGCTGGGAGGGGGGTCCTGATAGGAGCCCCCTCCCGCCAGGCGGCGCAGGGTCGGACCGGATGGGGTGGCAGTGCCTCCTGTCCGGGTCCGGCGCACGGAGCGGCACCCTCGGTGGCCTGGTGCGGCCATGAGCTGCCGGCCTCCGAGGGGTAGAAACGGGGTCGCGGGCGGTTGCGAGTTGGGGCTCGCAGCCGCCACTAGACGCGGCCCCGGGACGGATGGCGGCAGGACGAAGTGGCCTCGTCCTGCCGCTATGAGACAGGGCGATTACCGGGGGGACCGTTTGTCCCCCCGCGGGTGGGCGCAAAGCGCGGGCACGGGGAGGATACCGGAAGTATGCTTCGAGCGATTCCCGGTATCCTCCCAAATCGTGCGGAAGGGTCACCGTGGGGTTTTTAGTGGGTAGGTCCCGCGCCCGTTATAATGGGCGCGGGGAATCCCACACACCCCTCCCGCCTCTCCCCAAAGAGGTGGGAGGGAGTCTTTCGAAGATTTTCTCCACGACAAAAGGGAGAAGGGCATACAGCGAAAACTTGTGAAAAGCCAAAACACAACAAATGCTTCCTGTGTGATGAAGCCGGACATTATGCGAAATATTGTAAAAATAAACCGAGAGTCAAAAGATCCAATACGAATAACGCGAGTAATGTTGTTTTGCACACACAAACGGGACGAAGCCACGAAAAATATTTTAAGAATGCGTTTATCAATGGAAAGTATATAAAATCCTATATAGATCTTGGCAGCTCTTCTGTCACCTTGCGTAGGGACGTTGCTGACGAGGCAGGGTTTACGTACTTAGAAGGAAACTTTGAACAATTGATAAGCTATGGGAACGGTATTGTTATCTCGGTCGGAAAAACGACGGGTAATCTTCGTATAGATAATGTGGAAGTTAAAGTAACGATATACATCGTACCGCCCGACTGCCAAGTAATTCCACTTATTGTTGGGCACCCATTTACTGAGCAACCACATGTGGAAATCGTCAATCGACTAAGCGAACTGATGACAATTTGCCTAAAATAGCGCCTGACGATACACAAAAGAAAACCTTGTTATGGGCAAAAGAAGCTACTGTAAGTCCGTATAATTATTTAGGCTGCATTGCACTTTGTACGAAACTCTAAAAACAAGACTTATGCATCGAAGGAGGATTGAAAGAAAGTGGACAGTTGATACCTAGATGTTTAATTTCTACCGATGGCAGCGGAGAATCGATTCTACCAATTCGTAATGTATCCGGAGGAGATGTTAAAATAATGGAAGGAACAACGTTGGCCAGAGGAGAAACAGTGACTCGTAGCCAAGGAGACAGCAAACGCGAGATTAACAGAGAACCATTAAAACTGGAAGAAATAAACACGGAGCTTCCGGAGGATGAGGCTCGATCAATTGTATTTTAAAACGATTTTAGAGACTTAATCGCACATACTATTCGACAAGGTACAGAGTGGCTGTACAATAAGCAACGACCACGAGCAACATCTGTAAAACATTCGAATATTTGTTCGGGGCCGAAACAAATTTATTTCGTCTAAACATAATCGATTTGGCATAAAGTCCTTCGTTTCTTGGGACTGTAAGACGGGGTATATTTTAGACATGCTAGTATAATTCAGGTTCGGGAATACAAATTTCTGTGTTTCACGAAAATTTAGGTAAATCCGGCAATATAGTCATGACACTAATGAAAGATTATCTCGGGAAAGGTCACAACTTATACGTTGGTAACTGGTATACGAGTCCACTTTTATTTAACACTTTGCACTTGAACCAGACAAACAGTTGTGGTACTGTAAAAAAAGTCGCAAATACGTTCCAACTATACCAAATAAATTGCAAACAGGGGAAATATTATTACGATCAACCCGAACTCTATTATGCTTGAAATGGCAAGATAAAAGAGAGGTTTGGATGTTGACAAGTTTACATTACGCTGATATCATAGAGACGGGAAAACATCATTACCGCACAAAATTACCAATAAAAAAATCAACATGCATTCAAGATTATAACCGTCATATAGGTGCTGTCAATAAGACGGATATGGTTGCTAGTACTGTCCTTCGCTCACTTGAAGTCCCGCGAGACGGCGCAGGGGCAAGGGGAGTCGGACCGCCCATTTATCTGTCTTGCTCACTTGCTCTCAGGCAGTCCACATGTGTGTGTAACTGCCGCGACGAATAGCGAGCTAGAGACCAATGTGTGCGTGGGAATACGTGTGCCCCTTCTACTTCTCCCACATTCCTTCCGCGGGACTTCAAGTGAGCGGAGGACAGTACTATTGAGTGCATAAGAAAAATTTGTGGTACAAAAAATAGAACAAAAAATTATTTTTTCATTTATTAGATGTAAGTATTTGGAACTCATATGTTTTGTATAAATGTGTATCGGATACAGAGTTACATTTTGCGACATTTCATTCACTACTGACAAAACAAATTTTTGAAAAATATCTACGAACTTCAAATATATGCCACGGGAAAAGGAATACTGACGATCCATTACGTCTCATCGAGAGACATTTTCCAAGTATATATTTTAATCCGTCTTCGAAAAAAAAATCAAGCGCAAAAGTGTGTAGTATGTATGTTGCCACCACGTGAAGGGTTTCCACTGCAGTCGACAATGAACAGTGCCGTTTCTGAGGAAGTCACAATTCTTCACAGACTGCGTGCAATTTCTAAAGGACTAGGTCTGGCCGGATGCCGGTTTCAGATTTCTCTGGAAACGGTTCTCGGTTAGACCACCCTCGACGGCAATTGATGTATCGCAAACCCTCACGTGTTCACCACCAGGACTAGGACTGTAAGAATAAAGAATGGGCCATAAACTAATCCAGGGATTGTGCAGCGCCTACCAAACCTTAATTTGCAGGTTGAAACAAACCAGGCTGTAGGCGTTGCACAATCCAAAAACTGTCCAAAATTCGGATTGTTCAGGACAAGGCCCAATCCAAATATCGACGCCTCCAAGGAGGCACTAAGAGGGAGATTCAGAGTCTTCCTCTAGGACAGAACTTTGGACAAAAATCAGAATTTCTTTGATTCTCGAATCATTTGGACGTTCGTAAGAATTGCTTAGATTCTCGAATTAGCTGTACTCTTCTCGAATTACTTAGACGATCAGGAGAATTACTTGTATTCTAAAGGAACTTGGACATTTTGAACACGGATTTTGCATCGGACGCGAATAGAACTTTACTTGTTAAATTAATGATATCACCTTACAAGTGATAACATCTTACAATCGGACCGCAATCGCACCATTTCTTGTTTATTGTTAAACTTGAATATTGTTGTTGTTATTGTTTGAATAAATTGTTGTTTTTGTGGATCAAGAAATTGATTTGCTACATAATTCACTCCCCGAACCCACTACGGAGTTAATAGGAAGAGTTATAGGATAGGAACCACGAAACTCGTTGCCGACAGAAGAGACGATTTATATTATATACGCAAAATAAGCAAACAGGAATGCAGAGAAATATCTGAAGTAAAAGAATCACCAAAAATTATGAAAAATATTTCTGCAGAACTATGGTATCGACGCATGACACATCTGAATATCAGGGATCTTATATTTTTTTTTTTTTTTTTTTTGTCGTGGGGAAAATCTTCGAAAGACTCCCTCTCACCTCTTTGGGGAGAGGCGGGATGGGTGTGTGGGATTCCCCGCACCCATTATAACGGGCGCGAGACCTACCCACTAAAAACCCCACGGTGACCCTTCCGCACGATTTGGGAGGATACCGGGAATCGCTCGAAGCATACTTCTGGTATCCTCCCCGTGCCCGCGCTTTGCGTCCTTGCGAGGCCACTTCGTCCTGACACCATCCGTCCCGGGGCCGCGTCTAGTGGCGGCTGCGAGCCCCAACTCACAACCGCCCGCGACCCCGTTTCTACCCCTCGGCGGCCGGCAGGTAATAATGGCCGCACCAGGCCACAGAGGGTGGCCCTCTGTGCGCCGGACCCGGACAGGAGGCACTGCCACCCCATCAGGTCTGATCCTACGCTGCCTGGCGGGAGGGGGCTCCTATCAGGACACCCCTCCCTGCCTGGGTCATGCGCCACGCCGAGGGGGCCGCCCGCGTCGCCTGACGCCCAGGCGACGCTCTCTCGCCACCAAACGAGCGCGAGCCTCAGCGCGCCGCTGACGCTCTCGCTCCCTTCCCGCGATCTCCTTCTGCAACATTACGATTTCGCAGAAGGAGGCCACGGCCCTCCACTTCTCCTCGCTGCCGAGCATGGCGCGTACCATGCCCGGCAGCGAGACATCCCGCCCGATGACGCCGACCAGGACACGGCGCTCGCCCTCCCACGCAGTGCATACCTCGAGGGTATGTTCCGCCGTGTCCTGCTCAGCGTCACAATGGCAGCAACGCGCCGTCGGCTCCTTCCCTATCCGGCACAGGTATCTCCCGAAGCTGCCATGCCCCAAAAACACCTGTGCCATCCGGTAGGTGAGGCTTCCATGGCCCCTGTCCAGCCACTCACTCAAAAGTGGCCGAACAGCCCCGACTGTTCGGTGCCCCGCGGTAGGCAGAGCCAACCGCTCCTGCCACGCGTGCACCACGAACTGCCGGGCCTGGCGCTTCAACTCGCCCCAAGCAGGTTCCTGCACTCCCGGGACCGCCCCCACCCCCCGCCCATTCCCACCCCGCATTCAACACAGACCCCACCTCCTTCGGCCCAGTACAGAAACCGGAGAAGAAGGAGGCGGGGCGAAATTGTGGTATTCGCCGGCCGAAGGAAGACCACGAGCGACTCTAGACGACCTGAGGTTCCATCCTCCAGAGAGCCCACGCCCCAAGTGATACAAAAGCCACCCGCAGAAGCCACCGGGAAAGGGTAAGATGCTCTGCCATCCCTGCAGCAACACCGCATCCCTCAACTGGAGCCTACTGGACAAGAAGGGCGTCTACAGGCTGCCATTCTTGCAGGCGGGGGGTAAGCTGCCGCAGGGTTCGAGGTGGGCCCGCCACTGAAGGTGCTACATCTAGACCCCCAGGACCCCCTGGGCCTGTTGAAAATGACACTTGAAGAGGCGAAGGGTGTGATTAACCCTTTGCACTCGAGCAGCGCCGATACGGCGCCCGGTTGATTTGAAGTGTCAACTCGAGCGGCGCTGCTACGGCGCTGTGGTCTTTTGTGACTCGATCTGTTTATTTACGATGTGCGATAAGATATTTCTCTCGGATATACTTTCGTGGACTAGGCTCGGCTTACATTTTTAGCCAAATCTTAACGAACGAATCCACTGGAGAAGATAGTGAGGAAGTAAGAGGTGTGAGACGACAAAAAATTGGAATTATAGAGAGCGAAAGTGAAGTTGAAAGTGAAGTCGAAAGTGAAACTGCGGAGGTGCAAGCAGTTCAAAATGGGTACTTTGCAGAGAGTACGAAGAAGCGCCGCCAAACATACAATTTATACCTGGCCAAAACCCCACAGCGCCACGAATAGTTTCTAATAAGAAACAACCAATGGATTTTTTTTAAACTGTAATCTTGCCAAACGAGCAACTGATAATGGAAACTCGATAAATATTTGTAGCAGCTGTAATACGAGATCCACATGTTAAGTACAAGACAACTGGAACGCGAAAGTGGGATCAGTCGACGAAGTATTTTACGAATATTACACATTAACAAATTTCATCCGTTCCACATATCACTTCATCAACAATTAACTGAAAATGATTATACAAAACGTTTACAATTTTGTGAATGGGGCTTATGAAAACTACAAGACGATGAAATGTTTTTGAGTGAATTGTTATTTACCGATGAGGCTACATTTACAAATCATGGAGCAATTAACCGTTACAACATGTACTACTGGTCAGTAGATAATCCACGATGGTTGAGAGAAGTCGACAAACAGAGACCTTGGTCTGTAAACGTCTGGTGCGGTCTTCTTCATAATAAAATAATTGGTCCATATTTTATTGATGGCACGCTAAATAGTAGTAAGTACCTGAGAATCTTAGGAGACGTTTTGCCAGAATTGTTAGAAGACACTTCAATAGACATACGACAATCAATGTGGTTCCAGTAAGACGGATGTACTGCTCATTCAGCACGCAATGTTACAGAATTTCTAAATAGAAAATTTGGAGATTGTTGGATAGGTCGATCAGGAAGTAACAAATGGCCAGCACGATCCCCAGACCTGACACCTCTCGATTTTTATTTGTGGAGAAAATTAAAGGCAGAAGTGTACCGCGAAAAACCAACTACCAAACTTGACATGCAAGAACGTATAAGAAGAGCTTGCTCTGCAATAGATACAAATGAAATTTGCCAGGCAGTGTCATCAGTATTGCAACGATTTAGACTATGTATTCATGTTCAAGGTCGCCATTTTGAACACTTATAATAGTAGTATCAAAGTATCCAAGTGTTCGAAGAGTGCTTTGAGACAATTTATTTTCTATTGCAGTTGACTTTGGGTGACCCTGAATGACCTTAATAATAGGTAGAGGTGTGCGAGAACCCGAAAATGTCGGGTCGGGTCGGGACGGGAAATTTTTCCGGGATCGGGACGGGATCCCGAAAATTTCGGGATTCCCGAAAGTATCGGGATTTCCGGGCATGCCTCGATTACCGCTACATTGCGACGCTTCCGGGAATCCCGATACGTTCGAGAAAATGCTCGGGATTCTCGAAAGCATCGGGATTTCCGGGCATGCCTCGATTACTGCTACATTGCGACAGTTCGATTCGTGTGACTTGATGTAAAGAAACTTGTGACAGCGTACACACTGTGCACGCCGTTAAGCAGTTCTCTTGCGTAGTTCGAAAAGCACAGACGTATTGAAAATCTCTGGTGATTTAGTTAAGGATTTAATTTATAAATTTTAAAGTAAATAAGAAAATGTCTAGTGATAGTGAAACTGAAGTTATAGCTGAAAGTAGTGAGCAAAATGTCACACAAAGAAAGAAATGTACGAAAAGCTTTGTGTGGGAGCAATTCGAAAAAGTCAATCAACAAGAAGCCAAATGTAGACACTGCCAGCGTGTATTAAAAACAAAATATGGCAATACCAGTGGCTTATTACGTCATTTGAAAAACATTCATTCAAATGTAAGCACAAATGTAAAAAAATACAGTGAATCGATAGAGAGGTTGCCATATTTAGAAAAAGATTGTACGCGAGCAAAAAGCATAACTAATGCCATTGCTCGCATGATGGCATTGGATTTGCAACCGCTTAGTATCGTTGAAGACAATGGCTTTCGACAATTACTTGAAGTTACCGAACCACGCTATAAAATACCTTGTCGATCCACGTTTTCGAGAGAAGTAATACCACGTATGTATGATGATTTGAGAAAGCAAATTGAAAACAAGATACATGCTGATATTGAAGAAGGTAATAGATTTCCGAAATATTGTAAAGGCAATAGAAACCTGTACAGATTGGAAACGAATACCTTGTTTCACTCACTGTCTACAATTGACAATAAAAAAAGCAATGAGAAAATTTCCCTTGTATACAATTATAAACAAGAAATGCAGAGCTATTGTTGCTTTTTTCGCAAGGTCAAGATCCACAAAAGAAAGATTTTTGCAAGTGCAGTTACAAGTGAATCCAAATGAGACGCCTTTACGGTTACTGCAAGACGTGGACACTCGATGGAACTCCGTGTATATGATGTTAAAAAGATTAATTATATTACGAAGATCATTGAGTTTGATCTTGTGCGAAAAAGATATGCCTCAAAATTTATGCAATGAAGAGTGGGAATTCGCAGAAACATTAATAAATGTATTAGAACCATTGAAAGATGCGACCGAATTAATGTGTGGGGAAACATATCCGACATTGTCGCACTATATTCCCATGTATATTGGATTAATCAACATATATTCGACATATGAAACGCAAGACAAAATAATAAATGAAATGTGTCAACATCTGTGTATTGAATTACGAGTAATATTATTTTACTATTGAGCTGAAGATAAGTTATTTGCTAAAACAATTCTAAAAGTTATGTAAAATATAATATATTTTCAGGAACGTTTCGAGCATACTAAAAAAGATAACATCTTGGTATACGCAATGTTACTGGACCCACAATTTAAGCATCGTCTTTTGCAACCTGAAGAAAGATATGAAACAATTAATTGCTTGAAAGAGAACATTGCGTTTGATACTGACACTAATAATAACGAGCATACATCAGATGCAAAATATAATGATAATGGTACGTCCTTAAAAGTGTACATAAATCAGTAATTTTAGAAATTCCAAAATGCGTTTATTTAAATATTTAAATATTTTATTCTATAGATGAACCAAAATCAAAATTGTTCCGATTTTTTTATGACAAACTTGGGAATAAAAAGCTAAATACAAGTAGCAAAAAGGATAACTTTAACCAACGTAAAGATGAAGAAATCCGAATATATTTCGAAGAAGATAATATACCGAGAAAGAGCAACATCACAAGTTGGTGGGAAAAGAATAGTGGAAGGTTTCCTATATTAGGAAAGGCAGCACGACGATATATGGCTATCCCTGCCACCCAAGCAACAAGCGAAAGACTGTTCTCCACGGCTGGAAATATCGTCACACCTACTAGAACCAGACTATTATCTGAAAATGTAGAGAAGTTGGCTTTTTTACATGAAAACTCAAAATAAAATATCATAATTATTACATATTCGGTGCATTAATTCCACTTAATTTTCCAACATTTATAACTTTATACTAATGAAAATGATCCCAATACTTTTGAGAATCTCGACACTTTCGAGAATCTCGATACTTTCAGGAATCCCGATACTTTCGAGAATCTCGATACATTTAGGAATCCCGATACTTTCGGGAATCCCGATACTTTCGGGAATCCCGATACTTTCGAGAATCCCGATACTTTCGGGAATCCCGAAATTTTCGGGATCCCGTCCCGACCCGACTCGACCTCTTCTCGACTCGTCCCGACCATCGGGTTCCCGATATTTCGGGTTCTCGCACACCTCTAATAATAGGTCATTGTATTCGCCTTGAAACACTATTAGAATGTAAGTAAAAAAACATACTGTTCCATTTAAAAAAACAGAGTTGACCTTCATATCTCCTTGACGCCTCCACTTACAGAAAAATTGGTAAGACCAGATTATGAGTCCCCCGATACCAAGTAAGATTAGTCTAATGCACTTTTTCCTATCTTCAAAAACAAGCGAGTTATTCAGGTGAACGGTTTAAAATGCCCACCCTGTATATAATATGTAATATTAAAAATTAAAATTAAAAATAAATAAAAATTAAAAAATAAGCAAAAAAAGAAAAAAAAAGAAATTGCTCTAATTCCGGGGTGAATACCTCAACGTTAACTCCGCGGCTACCACCGCTGCTGGAAACACGTTTAAACTACACGGTACATACACTATGCATTTATCCCGTTACAATAAACTCAAATTTTTGTTTAAACTATTGATGGTATGGCAAAAATGTATGGGACTTTTGTGTTCCTCTCGTCGAGACCTACAATTTAAAAAAAAACGCCGATCCAACAACTTCGAAATTTTAAACTTTAAAGCCATTTTTTTCAAAAATGACTGGCCATAAACGTTTAGTATTTTACAGATTACGTTTGGATATCAGCCCCTACAACTCTGCCAAATTTGGTTCAAATCCCAGGTTGACAGGTCATGGCCTCCCCTTGTGAGACAAACTTCGACAAAATTCGAGCGCGTTTAGATAAATACAATGAGTTATTCGCGGACTACGAAGACATCATGGACGAGTTCGACGTAATCGACTCGAGCTACCAACACCACGAAGTTAACGAGAGATACGTGATCGAGGCGGAACGTTTTCGGACGATAACGGAGGCCGAAAAAATCCTGGCGGGCGGCCGTACGAGAATACTCGGTCCGTCGTCATTCCGCGCGTGCTCTTCCATGGACCGTAAATACTTGGATACGAGCTTCGCACGACGACGACGCATATAGCTGCCGGAGACGATACTACCTACTTTTAACGGCAGTTACGATGAGTGCCTGACGTTCAAGACCGAATTCAATTCGCTGATCGGATGTCAAGATGACCTAAACGACACGGACAAGTTACATTACCTACGTGCGTCGTTGCGGGGACCCGCACTGGCAAAGATAGAGGGGCTCGTGGGCATCGGGGAAAATTACGCACGCGCCTGGTCGATTTTAGAAAGGGCGTATAATAACCCGCGCGTGATTTTATACAAACATTACCGTGGCTTGTTATCGCCCCCTCGGCAGGAAGCCGAAACGTCCACGGACCTTACAAAACTCGTGGACACGGTACGGAGACACCACGAATCTCTTGCCGCAATGGGAAGAACATTTCCCGAGGAAATAATAGTCTGTCATATAGAATCGAAACTTCATTCAACGACTCTGAATCTATGGGACGCTACGTAACAATCGGATGTATATCCGATCCTCGATTCGTTGCTCGAGTTTCTCGAAAAACGGGTTAATTTGCGAGACAAGATAATAGAAGACGAGGAACAGGAAATACACTCGCATTCAGCAACGAAGGCGAAAGTAAGGAAGGAACCACGATCCAACAAAACACAAATTTTCGCAACGACAGCGGTCTCGGAATGCATCGTGTGCAGGGGAAAGGGACACGGTATCCAAAGATGCGAGAAATTTCGGTCGCTTCCGATAGCTCAGCGGTCGGTAATCGTTCGTGAAGCCTTGCTGTGCTTCAATTGTCTACGTGCGAATCACAGGACCGCGGATTGTACAGGAGGAAATTACCGAACGTGCGACGGTCGTCATCACACGATGCTGCATCAAGCACGCGCCGCGACGATGTGAACAGAGTCGGCTTCACTACCCGTGAGGACGCGAACGGAATCGGTTTCATCTCTCGCTGAGCCCGCGAGCGAAACGATTGAAGATTGACTCGTGAAACCCGAATTGGAGCGAGAAACGTTCCTGTCCACGCACATGTTCACTAATCAGTTGATAACCAGTGCGGTCATCAACGTGCTCGATAAGAAACATCGTTCGATATGGGGTCGAGTTCTACTCGACACAGGGTCGACTTCATGACGGATCGTCTCGCCATCAATCTCCAGCTTCCGATGAAGTCCTGCTCCATCCCGGTTGGAGCGATCGACGAATTGGCCACTCACTCGAAAAACACAATATCTGCCACCATTCAATCGACCGACGACAGATTCGCGAAATCGTACGAATTTTTAACGATACCGCGGATAGCTAACAGCGTGCCTTCTCAGTCGACCGACAGAAAACGCGATTTCTATACCGTCGAATCTCCCGCTTGCGGACCCCGACTTCTGCAAGTCAGCGGAGATCGATCTCCTCTTAGGAGCTGGACCCACGTTTTCGATGCTCAGCATAGGCCAGCATCGTCTGTCGAGAGCATAGGATCCCGACCTCGTCCTCCAGAAAACACGTCTGGGATGGGTCATCGGGGGGAACGCGCCCGCGTCCAGGGACAATCAGAAGGGGCAAACGTGCCACGCGACTACCACGGACTTCGGCCTACCGCGACTGTGGGAAATCGAAGAAATTCCGCAATGATGGTAATTCTCGGCGCAAGAACAAGCCGCCGAGAATCACTTTCACGAAAACTTTCGCAGAAATGCGACAGGTCGATACGTCGTGGCATTGCCTTTCAACGAAAGGCATGAAGGACTCGGATCATCGCGAGCCATCGCTCTCAAGCGTTTCCGTGCAAAGAAATCAAGGAAGAATATTACCTCCCTCTTTACGCGGTTCACAAGCAGGGCAGCTTCACGACGCGGTTACACGTCGTGTTCGACGCATCAGTGAAGACGACGACGGGTCTCTCACTGAACGACACGCTATTGGTGGGAGCCACCATGCAGCGCTCACTCTTCGTCATCCTCGTTGGGTTCAGGATGCACAATATTATATTAACCACAGACAGCGAGAAGATGTATCGACAGTTCCTCGTGCCGGAGCACGGCAGACAGTACCAGCGAATCTTCTGGAGGTACGGTGAGGGAAAGCTCATCGTTCATGAGCTGACGACGGTAACATTCGAAACATCCAGCGGAGCGCACAGCGCAATACGGTGCCTGTTTCAATTGGCGGAAGATGAGGCACACCGTTACCCAGTCGCGGCTCGCATTCTAAAAAATCATACGTACGTGGACGATACCATCGCCGGTTTTCGAAACGCGAGAGAGGCCAAAATCGCTCGCGAGCAATTAACGGAAATATTGCGCAGCGCATCCGACTGTGCTAAAAGGACTCCCAGCCGAGAGTATAAATAAAAAAATGCAGCTCAGCGACGATAAGACTGAGAGTACGTTAGGAATCGTGTGGAACACCGAAACAGATCACATAACGTGTACCACGAAACCGGTCGCCTTTCTCGGTCGAGTAACGAAAAGAAACATTTTATCAGAAATCGCAAAAATTTTCGATCCGCTCGGATTGTTCGGTCTGGTAATTCTATTCGTCAAGGGGCTCGTCCAACAATTATGGATAGAGAAGATCGACTGGGACGAATCGGTACCCGCTCACATACACACGAGTTGGGTAGATCTCTGTCAGTAATTGTCACTACTCAGCAACGCCACGTTCCCGCGAAGGGTACGTTATGTTTCATGAAGTTGTGGATCAACAGTAAAAGCGATCAATCAACGGAAGAAGAAAATAACGACGTCGACGAAGACATTCGAGGTCGAGTGTAGGAGTGAAGAACGTCCAGTTTGATTTGAATCGCGTGTGAGAGTGGGGGGTTGCGAGCGATACATGAGTTGCAGGGTTTTAAGACGAAGGAGGGATTAGCGTTTTTGTTATCATTAATGTTTGCGCCGTGTTTGCGAGCGATGTGTCCGATATACATATGTATATATTAGTTCATTTTCCTCCAATCGTGTGGACGAGTCAACAATAAAATTCAAGGGTCGAATTTCGTTCATAACATACAATTCTAAGAAACCGACGAAATGGGGTATCAGAGTTTATATTCTAGCTAACTCGAAGACTGACTACATTTGCTACATTTTGCCATATTATGGATCACTCACAACAGAGCTCTTGGTCAGACCCGATTTGCCTGTTTCATCAAGAATTCCGATACACTTATACAAAATGTTGTTGGAAAAAATTCCAAGTGCTCAGGGGTACCATATGTACACGGATCGTTACTATATTAGTTATATCTTTGCTCAAGAACTAGCCAAAGTGAAATGCAATATCACCGGAACGATCTTAACGAACAGGAAAGAATTGCCCAAGGAAATAAAAAAGCCAAATTTTTCGAAAAAATCCATGGTCGCGTATCGACGGGGCAACACCTTACTTTTAGGGTGCAAAGATAAGAGGGTTGTCACTTGTTTGACTACGAGGTATGACACAGGAATGTCGACGGTCAAAAGGATCACACGAGGTGGTGTGAAAATAATGGTCAAGAAACCCAATATTCTATTGAATTATATAAAATATATGGGTGGTGTTGGTTGGGCGAACCAATATGCATCAACGTATTGTTTTCTGCGAAGATCGCTTAAATGGTGGCGTACGCTTTTTTTTGGGCATGGAAATTTGCCTGATCAATTCCTACATTCTGTATAAACTAGAAAAGACCAAAAAAGGGGAAAAGCCACTTAGCCATTTGCGATTTCTATACACACTTGTCGAGCAATTGAAAGAATCATATCGCCAGCATCGTGAGCAAGCGTCTACGTCGCATTCCGATGAAATCCGACTAAATGGGAAGCTTCACGTAGTACTAAAAGGGCCAAAAAGGGACTGCAAGGTTTGCTCTGACCGTAACACGCCTGAAGGTAGGCGGGAAGTAACGTATTACTGTGATACGTGTCTTGATAAACCTAGGATGCATCTTGGGCATTGTTTTACGAAATATCACACGAAAACTAATTACAGAGTGTAATATTGATCAAATATTGTTGTATTCGACATAAAAATAAATAAATTGATGAAATTTTATTATTCGTATACGCTTGTTTGTTTATAAATGATTTTAAAGTACTTGTCAAATGTTTGCCTAGTTTGGCCGAAATCGTCTCGAGTTGCTGGTTCGCGCAAGCGAAAAAGGCAACTAGACCTTTGCGGACGGCTGTCTGCGGACAGCAGCCCGAACATTTTTACCGTTCTGGACGCGTGTCTGCGGACAGCAGCCCAAGCATTCTTATCGTTCGGGACTCGTGTCTGCAGACAGCAACCCAAGGAAATAGGTTCTACCTTATATTTAGAACGAGGACATTTGTTTTTAGTGTACTACCGTATATTCTATGCTCTCGATTGGTTTCTTTTTGTGCCTTATCTTTCCTTAATCTCAAATGCTGGATTCGTGCCTGAGGACAACAGTCTTGTACGAATCTTTTCAAACGAGCACATCTCTTGTATTACAGTTCAGATTTCCATATAAAGTTTGTAATGTATGGATGGTAAAGAAGATGCGGTAGTTACCGGCACGGTATGGGATACGGGAGCGAGACGGCCGGGGAATCGGTATTGATCAGTATGTCATGGGTAGTGAGTCCAGCATGGTCTGTCAGGTTTTGAATCGTGCTGTTAAGTAAATAACTATACATATAGAAACAGTGAGTATTGTTACGTGCCCTTTCCCAAAGACATCACAATTTTGGCGACGAGGATAAACGAACAAGTTTTCACGGAAAACTGAAATAGCACACGCCATAAGTGTATCCACGTGTATACGGAAGCACGATAAACAAGTAAAAGTGTTCGCTGCGTAGAAGAAAGGCCGGACTGTAAATAGAAGATCGCAGGATCAGCAGTAAAATTTGGTACGTTGGACAATAGCAAGATACAAGTAGATGATAAAGTAAGTAAAACGAATATAAGAATGTTTAACGGATGTCTGGCGTAAATGAGAAAATTGATTATACAAATACGTCATGGATATATTTATTGAATAAGCCACAAATAATTAAGATACTAGCTACGTTAGGATTGGAATACGACGGAAAGTGCGGAATAAATGAATTGCGTAGAATTTTACGTACCCATGTTAGCGACGTAAACAAGGAAACCGGCAATAAGGAATCGCGAGGCGAAGTAATCGATAACAGCGGAGAATCGGAAGTGATTCACACAATGGCAGAGGGCAACGGCAATAATAATGCGAAGCTAGAATTCCAGTTAGGTAAAGATGATTGGGAAACATACGCGGAGAGATTAGAATTGTATTTTGTAGCGAATGATGTGAAAACAGAAAAACGGGCCGCAGTTTTATTGACAAAAATAAGTGCTGATACATATAAACTCGTACGGGATTTATGCGCGCCAGATAAGCCAAGTACAAAGACCTTCGAAGAGTTAGTCAAACTGATTGGTAGTCATCTAAATCCGAAGCCATCTGAAACGATGGAAAGATACACATTTTATCAAGCGCAACAAGCAATGACAGAATCGGTGGCAGATTTTGCGGCAAGGTTGAAGAGGTTGTCAATAAATTGCAAATTTGTAGAGACAAAAGTAGCACTACGGGACCAGTTTGTATGTGGTCTAAAAGATCATGAGACAAAAAAGGCTTTATTCAGAGAGGAAAAATTAACATACGACTTGGCATACAAGATAGCCACGGCATTAGAAACGGCAGAGAGAAACGCAGTAACAACGGATAAAACAACTGAGGAGCCATCGAAATCGACAGTAAACATGATCCAGTCGAATACAAAGACAGAGAGACGACCATTCTATCCAAGTGCGAGAGGAAGAGGTGCCATACGTGGAAGTAGACAAGGACAGCGATACAAGAGTACAGCACCAGTTAACAAAAGAAAGCAAGGTCCAAACGACGAGCCAAACAAGGGGAAACTGAACGCTCAGCATTTAAGACAAGGTTCGTGTTATTGTTGCGGTAAGACCAATCACTGGGCACGAGATTGCTTCCACCGCCATAGAACGTGCAATACTTGCAAGAGGAGAGGGCATCTAGCAACAGTTTGCAGATCGCGGCTACAGCACCTAAAGCAAGAGGACGAGGCGGAAGGGCACCAACGAAGGGAGAGCACGTCCGATGACTTCTTCATGGTCCGAGGAGACAACAAGAGGAAGGAATGGGAATCAATTGTCGGTAATATAGGTAGTATAAGCAATGAATTAAAAGCAGATCCTATGTATGTAAATGTAATAATTAATGATATCAAGGTAAAAATGGAAGTTGACACAGGATCGTACGCGGCGATCATTTCAAAGTACGATAAAGACAGAATGTTTCCATCGCTAGGAGTGAAGGCCACGTATAGGCCATTGAAAGCATATGGTAAGGTTCCGCTTGAGCAGGTGGGAGAGTTACAGAATTTAAACGTAAAGGTTGGAGATAAGGAAGCTTTATTAAGAATGATAGTAATGAAAGAAAGGGGGCCAATTCTGATTGGTAGAGAGTGGCTTAAAGTGTTCGGAATGTGGCCATTCAAGTTTAATTGTAACGAAAGAGGGATTGGCTGTAATAAAATAGAATTAATTGATATGACAAAAGATTTTGGACTCAAATTTCCAAAGTTGTTCGGAAAAGGACCGGGATTATACAATAAAGGGATGCTTAAGCTAACGCTAAAAGAAAATGCCCAACCAGTAGCGCTCAAGGCGAGACATTTACCATTTGCGCTAACGAATAAGGTCGAAGATGAAATTAATAGATTAGTAAAGCTGCAACATCTCGAGAAAGTAGACGTTAGTGAGTGGGCTACACCAATAGTACCGGTAATTAAATCAGACGGGTCCGTGAGAATTTGTGGTAATTTTAAATTGACGTTAAATCCGCAACTAGTAAAAGACAGGCATCCTATTCCACTGATTGATGAGATTTTTTTGGCATTGAGGAATGGGAAAAAATTTTCGCAAATCGATTTAGAGCATGCGTATATGCAGATTCCGGTAGAGGAAAGTAGTAGAGATTATTTAACGATAATAACGCACAAGGGTTTATATCGGTATACAAAAATGACAGAAGGAGTGGCGTCGGGCCCGGGGGATTTTCAAAGGAAAATTGAGCAATGTTTGGCAGGAATTGACGGAGTAATTCCTTACCTAGACAACATATTTTGCACCGGAAGAGACGATAAAGAGCACCTACAAACACTTTACAAGGTGTTTACGCGACTCGAAGACAGCGGATTTAAAGTAAATCTAAATAAATGTGAAGCGTTTAAAGAAAGATTAGATATTCTGGGATTTGTCATTGATAAAGACGGGTTACATAAGTCGGAAACGAAAGTAAAAGCAATGATCGAGGCACCGACACCCGTGAATAAAAAACAATTAGATTCATTTCTGGGGTTAATTACCTATTATGCGAGATTTTTGCCAAACAGAGCGGAAAAGTTAAAACCACTGTATGAATGTGCGAAGAATGGCGAGTATAAATGGACGAAAGAATGCGAACAAGCGTTTAAATGGGTCAAATCGGAAATAGTATCACCGCGAGTATTAGCGCATTTTGATCCGAAAGAAGATATTATTTTGTCATGCGATGCGTCAGCATACGGGTTAGGAGCGATACTTTCCCATAGATATAGAGACGGTACCGAAAGACCGATAGCATTTGCATCAAAGATTATTCCCGAGAAGGAGAGGAGTCGCGCTATCATTGATAAGGAGGCAAGTGCAATAGTGTATGGATTTAAAAAATTTTATAATTACATTTACGGTAAAGAAATAACATTAAGGACGGATCATAAACCGCTGGTTTTTATATTTGGTCCAAAGCAAGAGATCCCATTAACGACGGCAAGTCGATTGCAAAGATGGGCATATTTTTTATCAAGGTTTTCTTACAAAATGGAATATGTTAAATCAGAGAAAAACGGTAATTGTGACGCACTGTCACGCCTTCCAATCAATGACACGATTCCAGTATTTGGCAACGAATTTACAACAATAAATTATGTAGAGGAAGCATTAGATACAGTAAACGCAGCAGAAATTGTAAAAGAAACGAAGCGTGATCAGGTACTCAGTAAAATAGTACGGTATGTAAACGGGTCATGGCCCAGCATGAACGATATGAATGAAATAGAAAAGAAGTACTACACGAAGCGAGACGAATATAGTGTTGAAAAAGGATGTTTATTGTGGGGATATAGAATTGTGGTACCAGTGTCAGTGCGGGAAAAAGTGTTACGTGAACTTCATGCATCACACTTTGGCATAGTGAAAATGAAGATGGTGGCGAGATCGTATGTGTGGTGGCCGAACATAGACAGTGATATCGAAAAGATCGCGGCTTCATGTAAGGTATGTGTGCAAGAGCGAAAGAAACCGGCGAGCGTGCCGTTGACGCCATGGCCGTACCCCGATAAATGTTGGAGTAGAATACACTCAGATTTCTTAGGTCCGTTTCATGGACGTATGTTTATGCTAGTTATAGATGCTTATTCTAAATGGCCGGAAATGATTGATATGGGTAAAAGTACCACGGCACCGCGAGTAATAGAGGTATTCAAGAAAATTTTAGTTCGCTTCGGCTTACCAAGACATTTAGTTACAGACAACGGCACCCAATATAAAAGTGAAGAATTTCAAAAGTTCTGTCGAGACAACGGTATTAAACAGAGTTTCACACCTCCACATCATCCGGCGACGAACGGTGCAGCGGAAAATTTCGTTGAGACATTTAAAGACAAGGTCGATAAGATTGTTCGAAGTGGTAAGCCACTTGAGTATGCTATCAATCTTTTTCTATTTGATTACCGGTCCACGGAACATTGTACTACAGGTAGAACGCCCGCGTTCATGATGTACAAACGGGAGTTAAGAACGCGATTTGACTTACTAAGACCTAGCGTAAGAGATGATGTAGCTGATAAACAACTTGCGCAAGTAACACGTAAGAAAGGCAGCCGTAAGGTACATTTCAAAAAGGGTGACACAGTAATGGTAGACGACTTCTCTGTGCGTAATACAAAGCGTGCGGAGGGGACTATAGTAAAGCAATTGTCACCGGTAACGTTTGAGGTAAAAACATCAACGGGTAAAATCTGGAAGCGTCATGTAGACCAAATTATTAGAGTTAATGAAAATAATGACACGTCCGAGACTATACCGGAGAATATGAGTACTGCGAAAGAGTCACAGGGTACATTGCGTCGCTCCGAACGGCTAAAGGAAAATAAAAAATAGAGGGAGGAAATTGTAATGTATGGATGGTAAAGAAGATGCGGTAGTTACCGGCACGGTATGGGATACGGGAGCGAGACGGCCGGGGAATCGGTACTGATCAGTATGTCATGGGTAGTGAGTCCAGCATGGTCTGTCAGGTTTTGAATCGTGCTGTTAAGTAAATAACTATACATATAGAAACAGTGAGTATTGTTACGTGCCCTTTCCCAAAGACATCACAAAGTTAATTATATTTATATATTATTATGTAGGCTATTATATATGAAAATTACCCTACTATAACATTATGTCTAAAAGAAGCAGGAAGGATGTTACATTTTGTGACATCAGCAGCAGTGATGATGAGTTTTATGTTGAGTCAAGTGACAGTGACTAAATTATGGAAAATTCTTCTTCTGATAGCGGAAGTGAAGTACAACGTGTTGTACGAAAACAATTCCGCCGTTTCAACATTTCAAGCGATAGCGAAGATGAAGATGAACGGCAAAGAGACGAAGCAAATGACGATTTCACGTGGAGGAACGTCGTAAACCAAGATATAGAGGATGTCAAAATCCCATTTACGACTGGGACAAAACCTGTTGGTCCTCAGGCGGGTCACCAATATAACGAACCCATTGAGTTTTTCAAATTGTTCTTCACTGATCAATTAATGAATAAGATACTGGAAGAAACCAATAAATACGGACGTGCTAAAATAGCGAGTAAAAATATCTTAGTACATTCAATTTGGAATACATGGGTCGACGTAACGAAGGCTGAAATATCGGCATTTCTAGGAGTGATATTGAATATGGGCACGATACGCCTTCCAAATTTGAAGGAATATTGGTCAACTGCGCGTAACGCGAAAATACCGTATTTTGGAGAAATATTTATAAGAGATAGATTTCTTCAGATTTTTTGGATGCTCCACACAAATGAGAAAGCAGCATCTGCGCAAAATATGAGAACACGAAGCGAAAAAATCAGTAATTATTTACATTACCTTTTCTCGGAACTTCGTATCAGGTAGAGAATTGTCTATTGACGAAGCAGTAGTCAAATTCAAGGGGAAAATAAGTTTTATAACGTATAACCCTAAGAAGCCCAAAAAACGGGGGATACGTATATATGTGTTAGCTGATGCTAACACCGGATATGTACAAGCTATTCTACCCTATTATGGTAGTTTGGCCACGGAAAATCTTGTGCGACCTGATCTACCCGTTAGTTCTAGAATTGTTCTGGATCTTTACCAGAAGGTATTAGATTTATACCCAGAAGTTGCAGGGCACATTATATTTACGGATAGATATTTCACTAGCATACCACTAGCAAATGCGCTGTTGCAAAATAAATGCTATTTAACCGGTACTATACAAATAAATAGAAAATACATTCCGGATGTAATAAAGAAACCAATATTTTCTGATAACAAAATTGCTGCGTATAGGTCTGATGAATTTTGTTATTATCTTGCGCGGTGGTGGATTTCTCCAATTGGAAAAACCCGTTGCAATAATAAATTATAATAACTACATGGATGGGGTAGATAGGGCCGACCAATATACTTCCACTTACTGTTTTATAAAAAATCAAATAAGTGGTGGAGAAAATTGTTTTTTTGGGGTCTCGAAATGCCTTGTTGTGATAGTTTGTTGTAGGAAAACACTTTTAGTGGAGTGACAAAACTTTCTTTATTTTTCTGTTGTTTTCGGTTAGAGCGCGCAAAACCAAGTGTAGTTATTCTTCGCTCGTCTCCATGTCGATCCTGTGACGGGGCTTTACGCGTCACTTGGAAGAAACACGAACTCGCGAAACTTTAAGGTAACGTGAGTACACTGTTACCTTCTGTCGTGACTTATGCCGTAGCTGAAGATAAGGGACGGACAGAGTAACGTTACGCGAGTCTTGACTTTCGAAATACTGGTCTATGCTTTATTTTGGCGAAGGGTTTATAAAGGTCGGTATGGCCGTAGAGTAGGGGTGCTTGGTTTTGGGCCTGATGCCTGACTCAGCTGTTGTTGCTACTAGGTGGTGATGTGGATGGTGACTCAGATGTTATTGCTGCGTGGTGAAGATATGGATGGTGATTCAAATGTTTTTGGCGAGGAGTGCTGACGCGGTTGTTTGTACTGACGAATGCGGGTGGTATCACACCCCCTTTCTTAGATTCGTTTTGGTCCTCCAAAACGTACGATTTTCTTCGTAGATGTTGATGGTGCTGTAGCTATTGGGGTTGAATGCGTGTTTTGTGCGCCTCCACGGTTATTTACATTGACTTCGTTACAACAAATCTTAAGACAAAATGTTTTTGGTATAAGTTTTGACAATAAAGTGAATAATCCTGTTTTATAAAATGCATAAGAAATTATAAGTCCTAACGATGATACAGTTTTATACGATTGCCGTGGGTTAGTAAGATCTTATTTTTGTTTATTCTAAGGAGGTAATTTGGCGTCCTTATTTCTATTATTTCATATGGGCCTGACCATTCTCTGTCTAGTTTGTGACTCTTGTGATCGTTATGTAAAAGTACTAAATCCCCTTGATTGTATATAGTTTTTAAACGAATTTTAAGGTCTTGAAGTGGTTGCGTATGAGGATAAGAATGGTCTTAAATGCAATCGCAAAGTTCGCCTTGTATTCTTTATTTTGAAGGTGTTGTTCACTGGGTGTCGTGGCGAAGACTGAGTTCTACATTTTCCTTTTTCTCCTTCGAACTGTTTGCAGCCACCTAATTGGTTGAACCGATATGTCGAAGTTAACCAATTAGGCATTTTGCAATTCGGAAGTCGCCGCCTACTCCTTGCGCCCTTGACGCGCTTTTTGAGGAAGGCGACGCGACTCGGTGGGGGGTACCTCTGTCGACGGAAGTTTGGCAATGCAGCGGAATTTCCTACAGGTCTAGGCCTGGTGATGTCACCCGCCGAGAGTCGCTTGACTCGGCCTTGCAGCCCTTCGGAAATCCATGGTTTATGACATGTGCAATATGCCACTGAGGCCGTTCGAGACTTTCGACGAAAAACATGCCGAATAATAAAACGCTTAAGAAACGGCTTTCTCAAAAGTGGCCTTTTCGACTTTGCTTGTCGTAAACCATGCTAGCATTTGCACACCAGATGTTTCTTTTGTTGCGCGAGCTAGCCGCTACAGTCTTGTTCACGTTTATACCGTTTCTTGTTTGATTCTATTATTTTCTTTGCGTTTTCTAAATATTGTTTATGTCTCTGTTTCCAAAGTTTAAACAGTTCATCTTTACTCAGATGAGGGGTGGTGGATATAGCCGAAGGCATATTTGCTTCATGTCCGAAAGTTAGTTCGAAAGGGGTATATCCAGTACCAGAATATACTGAGGTATTGTAAGCCATGCATATTAACTTTAGATGTTCATCCCATTCGGTTTTTCTTTCATTAATACAAGTTCTTAGCAAGTCTTTTACAGTTCCGTGAGTTCTTTCTAGAGCTCCGTTACTCTGGGGGTGGAAACTGGTAGTTTTGATGTGTTTAATTCTGAAGGCCTTTTCAAACGATTCCATTAATTTGCATACGAAATTCTGTCCCTGATCAGTCAGGATATATTTAGGTGAGGAAAAGGTATAAATGTAGTATTCCATCAATTGGTCAATAATAGATTCGGCTTTTTGGTTGGCTATGGGAACTAGTATTAAATATTTCGTTAGGCAATCTTGAATTGAGCCGCTCAATGCACACATCGATTAACTCCACTTTTTGAAAAATCTTAAATTTAAGTGTCAAAGCCCTTGGTATAGTCATAACTTTTTATATTTATAATAACTTTCCTGAATAATAAAGATTAGCACCGTTAAATGGCAAATTTTTTTGGCCATTGAATAATAAGTAATTTATTTCAGAAGCCATTTCGATTAACTCCATACTCTAATGTAAATCGTTTCAGTAACGCTGTATCTGTTCTGGCCGTGCATCGACGCTTATTTGTTTTTAAACAGCCGAAGATGCTCTCTCCCTCTCAATAATATTCGTAACAAAATCGCATCGGTAAACAGATAAAAAGAAGCACAATGCAAACGGTAGTTAGTATAGCAGTGATCTCGCACGCTGAATGTTACTGTGTACTTCTTAGTCTTTTCAACATTACTCCCAGATTGTTTTTAAAGAAATAAATATTATACCGTTATAATCAAGATGAGTGAGACTAATAATGTGAGTGAGGAAAGCAGTGATGATTCTTCAATACGATTTATCAACAGAAAGTCTGGTCCAAGAAGACGTTTATCGTTTTCCTCGGATTCATCGGATTGCAACAGTACAAACCCAACAATCACATTGATTGGGAGGAAAAGAAGTCGTAATCCTGTTAAATGGATACGAAATTTACAAAAGCATAACAGGATAAAAGGTTTGGCATACAGGAATAGGGGAGGAAAATTAATAACTGCAAAAACATTTGTCGATATACAATGCAGATGCCGTCAAATTGCAATCAAAAAATTATTTCGGATGAGAGAGAGGCTGCCATGAAAGAATTTTATAATTTACATAGTCAACTTGACCAAAATATTTTCTTAAGAGGTTGTATCAAAGTTAACGAAATAAAAAGAAGGCGCCCTACGAATGAAACTAAAGAACGAAGATCACATTCGTTTACATATTACTTTCGAAAAGAGAGACTTGATATTCCCGTTTGTAAAAAATATTTTAGAGACACTTATCAGGTGAGTGACGGGCGGATATACGATTGTTGTTCTAAAGAACAAGTTACATCTTTGGTTGATAAGCGCAAAGGCCGCGTTGCAAGCAATAAAATAGATGATACAAATGTTATAAAGCATATAAAGTCATTTCCAGCCTACAGTAGTCACTACACCAGAGCTCATAATCCAAGACGACAATATTTAAATCCTGACTTAAATATTAAGAAGATGTATGAACTATACGTCACAGAATGTGAAAAGGAAAACGTAGCACCAGTGAAAGAAAATATTACTATAATGTGTTCTCTACAAAATTTAATTTACATTTTAAAACAACCATCAAAGGATACGTGTCAAACTTGTGATGCTTTTCAAATAAAAATTCAATCTTCAGACGATGAGGGAATTAAGATGGCAAAAATTGAAAAGGAAACTCACTTAGAAGAGGCTGAACGGGCTCGCAGTCAAATGGCTGCCGATCGAATGGCAACATCGGAAAAATTGTTCGTATTTTCTTTTGACTTGGAAAAAGCTTTAGCCTTTCCCCAAGTTGACCACATCCGTAGCTTATTATAAGCGAAATTTATATGTTTATAATTTTGGATGTCATGAATTCAATAAAAATATAAGCCACATGTTTGTTTGGCCAGAAACTGAAGGATCTCGTGGGTCTCAAGAAATTTCATCTTGTCTAATAAAGTACATAAAGACTTACGCTGCAAACTTCGAAAAAATAATAACATATTCGGATTCGTGTACCGGGCAAAACAGAAATATTAAAACCGTCTTAAGTTTATTGAAACTTGTTCAAAGCACGGAAATCAAAGCTGAATCAATTGACATGAAATTTTTGGTAAGTGGACACAGCTATTTGCCCAATGACTCAGATTTTGCCATTATTGAGTCATGTGCGAAAAAAATCAAAACATTTTTTCACCAGATGATTGGTACCATATAATCAAATCATGTAAAAAGAAAGCGCCATTTCATCTAATCCAAATGACTCACCAAGATTTTTTGTCAACAAAACCTTTAGAACAGTCTATCATTAACAGAAAAGTAACCGTCACAGGGCTTCCACTAAATTGGCTTAAAATACGCTGGATAAAGTTAGAAAGGTCCAAACCCTATCTCATACAATTCAAATGTGACTATAATGAAGATACAGAATTTCAAGCCATTAATATAAGAAAATCTTTAGTGGGTAGACCGCAAAGTTTGAAAAATATAGATCAGCCTTTATTATATCCTAAAGGTAGAACTGTGACAAAGGAAAAATGGAGAGACATGATGGACCTGCTAAAATTCATTCCTCCTGTTAAACACGATTACTATAAGAACTTGTCAACAAATCGAAATGACGAATCCTCGCATACAGCTGATGAAGAAGACATTATTTATAATATTGCTGAATCATCCCAAAGAATAATGCCGCTAACATAAAGCTGCTATGAATTAATTACAAAAATTATATTATAACCGAACTGCCAACATTCATTTTTATGGAAAAGCTGTGATAAAAATGTATAATAACCAACTTTTTCTGTAATAAAAACTTAAAAATGCAAAGACTAAATTTAACTTTATTACTTTTTTCAGTTGCCAAATCGATTAACTCCACCAGTCACATAAAAACTGTAACATTACTGACGATTGTTTGTTGGCTATTCTTTCTTATTAATTTTATATACCGTTAGATGAAAGCTATATCTGCAATTTATGCATTCTACATTATATATTTGAATTCATATATCAGAGGAATTTTTAAAACAATATACATTACATCATCGCGTTTCTCAACTTTCGTTTTATGGAGTTAATCGATGTGTGCACTGAGCGGCTCAATTGAGAGTATGAACTGGTTTCCTTTTGCAGTAACGTTAAATGGGCCTATAATATCTAAAGCAATCTTATCGTTCGGATTTTGCGGGGTGTCAGTATATCAGCTTCCTCTTTCGATCTAATCCTAGTGAGTTTATTCTTTTGGCAAATATCACAGTGTTTTATGTATTTTTGTTACGTCGTTGTCAATGTTTGTCCAATAGTACTTTGCCTTTATTCTATCGATGGTTTTATTTTCTCCTAAATGTTGTACATTGTCGTGGTTCTCAATAAGTATCTGTTTCTTTTCGTCTTCCGTGTAGTCTCGTATAGGGGTCCTGCGCAAAATGAAGTTTCTTGTCGGGATAATTTTCATAAGGAATCTGAGCATTAACTGGATGTCGATAATATGCAAAGGTTTTAAATTCGTTCCGATACCGAAGGATATAGAGGGTTTGTTATGTTGTAATGCCATTAAGTCGTGTAGTCTGTTTAGCCATGTGGCTTCGTCGTGAGGTCCTAACAAGTCTTTCGTTAATTGAGTCCATTGTGGTCTATTAGCTACTGTTTTTATGGGGGCGGCTGTCGGTTCCTTTTTCCAGTCTATATATTCATTGTATAAGT